AAAAAGTGACAACATCTCTTCCAACCCTGCGCTTAACCAACAATGAAAACAAAGAAATAATAAAAACTTGCATTGTAAATATTGACAAAGAAGAATACGATGCTATCGATAAAGAAAAGGAGACCAATAAAGAAACCTGACACCTAATTTGCATCTAAATTAATTTTGACCAAGTCAATTTCCATCTAAGTTCAAGTCAATATTTCCCTATATAAACATCAAAAAGCACTGATGATGATTCATTCGGAATCGAAATATGGCCTTATTTGCAGCATGAATTCGGAAAATAAGTTTATTTTGAATTTTAATAAACTAAACGTTCACCATAAAACTTTAGTGAGAAAAATTGAAAAAACGAACTACAAACATATTAACGCTAAACATTCGATAGAATTTATAGAATATTGTAAATAAATATATATATATATATATATATATATATATATATATATTGTTCCAGTTTGGTTGTCATTAGCCATTTTTCTGTATATATATATATATATATATATTGATATAGATATAAATATATATATATATATATATATATATATATATATATATATTGATATAAATCTTCAGTAGGACGTTGTTTTCTTTGCCATCAATTTTTTTCGCCAAAATAGACGATCATTTCATTTAAATATAGAGCTTTCATGTCTTGCTCGATTGTTTGCGATCAGGACTTCATTGAACGAGCTTTGGGACATGTGCCAGGTACTTCAACATTTGCAAGAGAAGTTATGGCACTATTTCTCTTCGCTTGACATGACGAAACTACCCCAGACGGTATTGCCGGCATTCGTTCTTCAAATCATCTAAACCAGCGCGACGCAAGATTTCGGTAGATTTGATGTGGTCCTTGAGACTAATTCGTTTCATCCGTCGGAGCATTTTCATGTCGGTTCGTTGAAGTTGTTCCAGTTTGGTTGTCATTGGCCATGTTTCTGACGTATCACAGATTTATAAAGTCTTGATCGTAGTGGTAGTGGGATATCACGCCGCATCAATATAGAGACAAGAAGATGCCATTTATTCCAGGCTGTGCACGTATGCGTGCTCGAACGGCAGCTTCAGCTGTTCCAGTACAATCCAGAATATCCCATAGATAATGAAACGATGTTTGTGACACCACTGGTTACACTGCTGACACTTGATTGAACTACCTACACTAGCTTCACAAACTGAACAGGGCCATTAACTGTAGATTGGATGGGTTCACCTGTGTTCATTGCTTTGGTTTTGCTTATGTTGACTTGGAATCCATGATCGGCGAGTTTGGTATTCCAATCTACAAACATCTGTGCTTTTTCACTTTTGCTTTTAGTGAGCCACTCTCTGCACTGATCTGTCCGAGCCAGTGCGACGACGTTTTGCATAGTTGTTCTTATATATATATAAAAAACTGGTACTAAGGCAAAGATGATCCATTGAACTGTTCATCATATCGGGTTATACGTCTGTTAGAACACTCCCTGAAAATTGTCGAGAAAATCATTGAGAGAAGATTAACGTCGTGCATCACAATCGGAAATTATCAATTTGTTAAATCAACAATTGATGCATTTCACATCCTTCGGCAACTGCAAGAAAAGTACCTCGCAAAGCATCCACAACTATCACACATTTTTGTAGACCTTGAAAAGCATTTGATCGAGTTCCCCGTGAAAAAATCAGGTGGAGTCTACGTCGACAACTCATTCCAGAATATCTTGTTCGACTTGTGATGGAAATGTATACGAATACTAAGACTCTCGTCAGCACAACGGTTGGAAACACAGATGCATTTGACATCGGCGTTGGAGTTCACCAAGGCTCGATTCTCAAGTCCACTGTTATTTATAACTGTGATGGAAGAAATCACAAAACCGAAACGCACTTGTGACATTTGGAATCTAATATATGCTGATGATATCGTTTTAACAGCCACGTCTGAGCAGAATGCCGCACAGATGTTTGAAGATTGGAACACCAGACTCGCCGATTATTGATTCAAAGTCAACATGGTGAACCCATCCAATAAACAGCCCTGTTCAGTTTGTAAAGCTGATGTAGGTAACAATTCAATCGAGTGTCAGCAGTGTAACCAGTGGTGTCACAAACGTTGTTCAAAAATAATTGGGACTTTATCTAAAGTGTCCAATTTTGTTTGTCATGCTTGCATCAATCCACAACAACAAAATCGAAAAAGCAATGTTTTTGAAGCCATTAAGGTAAAGAAAGTCACATCGTTTCTTTATCTATGGGATATTTTGGATTGTACTGGAACAGCTGAAGCTGCCGTTCGAGCACGCATACGTGCAGCCTGGAATTAATGGCATCTTCTTGCCTCTATATTGATGCGGCGTGATATCCCACTACCACTACGATCAAGACTTTATAAATCTGTGTTACGTCCGGTCTTGTTATATGGTGCAGAAACATGGCCAATGACAACCAAACTGGAACAACAACTTCAACGAACCGACGTGAAAATGCTCCGACGGATGAAACTGAAGGACCACATCAAATCTACCAAAATCCTGCATCGTGCTAGTTTAGATGGTATAAAGGACGAATGCCGCCAACACCGTCTGCTGAGGTTTGGTCATGTCAATCGAAGTTGGAAACAAGTTATCTTTTACAGAAGTTGAAGTACCTGGCACACGTCCCAAAGGCCGTCCAAAGAAGTCCTGGTCGCAAACAATTGAGCAAGACATAAAAGCTCTAAATTTAAATGAAATGGATACAACTGATCGTCTAATTTGGTGCAAAAAGTTGATGGCAAAGAAAACAACGTCCTACCTTGGGAAAGTGGGTCCATGGACGCTAAACGAAGATTGATTGATTAAATTAAAATCTTTTTTAACTTATATAAAATATAAAAACAATACTTCTAAATTTTGTCTGTTAAAACTTAATTTTACTTTTAGTTCTTGGTTACTATAGTCACAATATTTTCAACTGTATATCAAATTATAACACTGATGATTGCAATTTTGCTAAAAAAGCTTTTTTGTTGTATTTAAACTATTTTTATTTTATTAGTTTATATTTTATTTATTTCAATAATTTATTTGTTTTTTGATTGCTATCTTAAATTTATAGCAATAAAATGATTATTATAAAACTATTTAATTAATAAACTAAATAATATACTACAATTCATTATTTGAAAAATAGAGAAATTAGAATTAATATATAGTACTAAAAATTGAATACATAATGGCCTTATTATACCTAACTAAAAAAAGTTATTCAATTATATATATAATTTTTATATATTTTTTTACACTTTTATATATTTGTCTTATTTATTTTGAAATTAACGTTCCCTTTTATATAGTTGTTTTATTTATTTTGAATTTAATATTATATATATATAATGTTAAATGTTAAATAAAATATATATATATATATCATTTGATCTGTTTGAATGAATCTGCAGGGTGTTTATCTTTTGGTTTTGTTGTATATGAGCGCAGTTTTTGATCAGTCCTTACTAATACATAAGCTGAAATATTGTTTTGGTGTCTCTGTTACAGTAGCATCGTGGTTCAAATCTTATTTGTTTTGTTTGGTAAGACGCATCAAGTTTTTTAATAATGTCGAACAATGTCAGATGTCGAAGTTGTCGTGTCAGGAGTTCATCAATGATCGGTTCTAGGACCATTTCTGTTTTTGCTGTACACAACCGAGGCTCTTCTAATCATTGAGAAATATAACTTCAAATATCATGCGTTTGCTGATGATTTGCAGATAATACTTCGGTTCTCATTTTTGAGGAGCTAGTAGATACATTTGTTTCTTGTTTTAATGAGCTCAATGGCTGGATGGTCGAGAATTAATTAAAGCAGAATAAGAGCAAGACACAGCTTTTGTCTGCCGGCACGTGGCAGCAGTTGCAAAAATTTGTTAACCCAATCAATATTTTCGATACTGTTGTCGATTTATGTATATCGGTTAAAAATTTGGGTATCACATTTGGCCAAACTATGACAATGGACCAGCACATCAGGGCACTTACTAAGGAATGTTTGCTGCCACGTGCCGGCAGACAAAAGCTGTGTTCTTGCTTTCATTCAGCTTTAATCCATTCAAATAAAACACAAACACAAATAAAAAATTCTCTGAAATGCTTGGTTCACTCGAAGTGCCTCTGAGTAATATATTTATATATATCTGATTTTTTGAAATTTTTCTTAGTCTTAAGTTCTGCTTCGCTGTGAGCACATTGTACAATTGCTCTTTATTTCATGTTTCAAGTCTTTTGAGGTCTTCTATGGATTTTTTATTCTTACTCTCCATTTTGTTTTTTCTGTTTTCTTTGTCACTTGTGTATTTTTTACAGTAATTAAATATATCAAATCATTAAGTGATATTTTTTATCATTCTGGTATTATTATCTATCTTATACATGATAGTTTTATTATAAATTAGTTTTTTTAAAGATTTTTATTTTGAGGTTGTAGATGAAGTTCTTTGTTTATTTTTATCCTTAATTTTGCAATTTGTTTCTTCGTTTGTTCAATCTGATTTATCCTTGTGGTAGCATTGGGCTAGATGCCATGATTAATATTTTGCGAATCATCTAGAATAATGTTGGACGGTTTCCAAGGATGCCACTCCTACATACATCGCGGTCTTGCGCATTTTCCCTTCTCAGCTTCATCTTTCTCCAAAGTTTTTCCTCTTCTTTCTCCGTCAACTATCACATGTTTACATGCTGACACCCAGTCATCCTACTCTCTCCGTTCCACATGTCTAAACCATCTTAATCTACCGTCTCACCCTATCACACACATTTACTATATTTAATCTTTGTCGGAGCTCCATTCGTTTTCCTGTCCCTCAGTGTTACGCCACACATCCACCAAATCATTTTTTCTGCTCTTTCCATACGCTGCATATCTCACACTGCCATGCATCATCACACGTTGAACATACGTACTGTATATTTTTCCTTCTACCTTTAAAGAAGCAGAATCGGAACCTGTTTCCAAAACCTGTTTCCACACCGCTATTTAGCTCTCAGCTCCACCTGCAGATCCTATCATATCTCTCAGATAACAAAACTCCTCCACACATTCCACTTTCCCTTCACAATCTATTTCTATCTCTTTTCTTATTTTCTTTTGTTCCCCTCCATCAATACATCTTTTCCCCTGAAAGTAGCCATTTTTAAACTGCCAGTCAGTTCACTGCATCTCTTATGCACCCATTTCTTACAAGCACTACAGATTATCTAGTTTGCTCCAACATCTGTCTGGCACACGGCCACTATCAAGAATTCTCTACTTGTCCAGTCTTTACTTAACAACACATAATTTTTGTTTTATTCACGTTTACTCTTAGCCCTTTCATTTTCATTGCATCTTTCCAACACTTAATTTCTCCACCAACTCTTTCTCAAAATCTGAAATCAGACACAAATCATCCGCATAGCATAGCAAACCCGCGCGGAAAGCCTTCGAAAGAGTTTCTAAAACAATAATAAACAGCATAGGGCTAAGCACCGAACCATGATGTACACCAACTTTCACTTCAAAACTATCCATCATCTTGACTGATAGCTCTAATAAGTGTCAGAAGTCATTCCTCAACTCCCAGAATTTTCAAGGCTCACTTCACTATTTCCCTAGAAACTCAAACGCTTTTTCAAGATCTACAAAAGCCATACACAAGTCCCTCTTCTTTTCAAAATGTCTTCCCTGTATCTGCTGAACTATGAGAATTGGGTCTGTATTACCTTTCACTGGTCTGAAACCAAACTGCATGTCATTTATAAACACTTTACTCTTTACATTTTTCTCAATCACTCTTTCTAGGACATGATCAAGTAGCTAAAGCCTCGAAAGATCCTCATTCTAGAGCATTCCCTCTCTCTTTATAGACAGTCACCATTCAGCTTTTCTTCCAATTTTGCCTTGCCTTACTAGTGCGTTACAAAGATCTATTGCCCACCGGACACCTACATTCCCTGAAGCTCTTGGCATCTCCACTAACAGATCTAATAGACCAGCCTTTTCTCTCTTTCCTCTCTTTCACATTATCTTTAGCCGTGAGTAATTTACCATCCGACTCCTTGACACAGCTTACCCCAACAACACCTCTATTCTTTCTAATGATTTGTTTTATTACTCTGTTTTCTTTTTTCTCTGAATAATCTAGCATTTCACAAAATACCTTTTGCTCCTCTGACTGAGCCAAGTAAACTGCTTTTTTTGCCTTATCAGAGCAATACAAGATCCTGTCTTCCTCCTTTTTGGTCTTCTTCCATACCTTACACAACTTTCTCTTTGCCTCTAAGTCTTCCCAACCTCCTCGTTCTACCACCACGATCCCCTGTGTCTCGGCTGACCCTTAGTTCTACCGCAAACCTCATCAGCTACTACTAGTAAGCAAAGATCTATTACTACTAGTAAGCTATTCTTAAACAAATTCCACGACCCTTAGTTCTACCGCAAACCTCATCAGCTACTACTAGTAAGCTATTCTTAAACAAATTCCACGTGCTTTCCACATCTCTATCGCTTTTCAAATCTGCTTTTTCTTGAATCTTTTTTTGAAAGATACGACGTGGCTCCTCCTCCTTCAATTTCCAAACTCTACACTTACTTACGAATACAAGCTTGCAAACTCAGGTTCATTTCACAAATGACTACCTTGTGTTGTGCATTGCAAACTTCACTTGCTATCGCTTTTACATTATTGATCATGGTTTTCTTTTCTTTTCTCATCAATACATAGTCCACTTGGGTCTTATTGCTACCTGACTCATATGTCACCTTACTGCATTCATAGCAATTTTCAAAACTTCGTTGTTGTAGAAACGTCTGCCAGATAATCATAATTTCTTTCCATACTCAAACTTTAAAATTACTGAAAATTTATTTAATAAGCCTGTTATAAATGTTTAATATAATTTTAATATGAGAAAGCAGTTTTTATTATTTAATCACATTAATAAATTTAAAAAATGGATAATTTTTTAATGTAACAAAATTTTAAATCAATATAAAATGGTTTTTTTTTGTCCCAAGAATTTCAAAGCGAAATTTTGAAATAACTAAAACTAAAAATTTTTTGTTTTATTTTCAAAGAAATTGTAGAAAAAACTTAATATTTACAAGTGATATCTAGATAATTAGATAAATATGATATGAGTTGACACGTGAAATAAGTATAATTTTTGTTGTTTTAGGATGAAACATCTCAAATTTAATTTTCTAGGTTCATTCTAACTGTGTTGAAACAGCTTGCACTTTGATGATATGTGATAATAAAGATTTGAATCAAACCAACACAAACAACAAATGTTTAGAATGGATAGAAAATAAATTTCATAACATTGATGATAGGTTTAAAGAAATTTCTGAACCTATCAGCATCAACAAAAGTTATTTGCAAAACAATAATAATTTTACTGGTGATATTGCAAATACTGTTAATCTTTCTACAAAGACTGACAAGGAAATGTTGGATGTAAATCAAACCATTTTGGAAATCCCAAATAAATTCACTGCTCAAAATATTTCAGAAAATGGTTCGGTTGAAAAATGTGACGATAACATTTTCGAGAGTTTGAATTACAATAATCTACATTCTACAACCAACATACTACCGAATATAAATGAGAAAAAAGAAGAAGATAAAGATGGAAATTTAGTTATACTGATGAACTGCAATAAAGAATTTTCTTCTAAAGTTCGAAATGTGAATGACGTGGCTGATTTTGTTGCTCTCAATTTGAAATCATTCAAAACAAATTTTTCTGAAGTAAATCGTTTCATTTTGTTTAATTTTGATAATGGACAGAAATTTATTTACCTAGATTTAGGAAGGATATAACTTTTTGAAATTTTTTACGCCTGATTTTTTTTTTATATAATTCTTAAGAAATGAAATTTATTTTAAAATAATGTTCCATTTTTTGTTTTGTACTTGTGAAAACACTTTTTTTTTAAATTTTGGTTTTCTATTTTTGCAAAGAAATTTGAGCAATATTTGTCAACCACCTGTTCAGACGTTTGGCTAACAAATTAATTTTGTAGAAAATAAAAAAAGTTTTTTGGCTAAAATATTTAAAATGGATTCCATGCATTATTATTTTACAACACTAGTTATTTGGGATAAAACTAAAAAAAAATAGATCGCATTAAAAGATACAGTTATATGACACACATCGCACATTCAATATATCCTAATATTTAGTTAAGTTATACATATATGTATGACATACATTTAATATAAATAAATAAACAGCATAACAATATGAAGGGTAGTCGGTAAACAATAAAAATAAATATTGATGAATTTTTTTATAAAATCAATTCACGTGGCTCGTTTATTATTTTATTGTTTAAAAATGATATTTGGAAACGATTCAGTCTTCATGTTCTTTTATTCGTTCTGAAATTTGAATTTAAAAATATTATTTTGCAAAAATTCATCATTATTGCTCTATTGATATTGAAATTTTTTGTATTTGCCACCAGAATCCAGATGTTGTAACAATATACATATATATTAGACACATTGATAAGTCCTCTTGCGTAGTTGATTACAACTCACATTCACTTGATATCAAGTTTAATACCAGGTTCATATCTTTTAATGATTTGATATTGCAGTTAAAGTTTTTATTTTCTGATTTTTTTTTTATTTTACCTTTTTTTTTACATAAACAACAAAAAACGTTATCGGTGACTTTTTAGCTCCATTAAAGGGATGTTTGTGCGTGTCGTAAATCGAATCATGCTTTTTTTGCGCATTAGACTACCATTACGGCATCGTTTCATTTACAGCCAAAAAAGCTTTTTCTTTTCAAATTGGTTTTTGGTCTCATAGTGAGTCATTTTAAACTTTGTTTGGAATTGAATGTTTTATCCAAAAAGTTGCATTCATAGAAAGAATACTATCTTGCTTGGTGTAATCGAGACAAGACAGCTGCAATGATCAGTCATTGTCGACTAAAAATATTTTAGGATAAATTTATACATGATGTGAATCATTTATATAAATGTACTTATATAAATAAATCAATGAACACAAAAAAATTAGTTTTATTATAAAAAAATTTGAAGTTTTGCATTTTTGCACAATTTATCAATGTTAGCTTTGACAGAGGTAGTTGCAACTCGAAGCTGACTAATCAGATCTTCATCCGTGAGCTGACCATTGTATTTATTTTTTGTGAAGTTCTTTTTGGAAAAAAAAACTGTTCACGGCATTTTTTGCATGTTGGTCCATATTTGGACATTTTTTTGTAAATAGGTTTTATAAAATGTCACATGATCTTTTCTGTCATATGCTGATTTCATTAGCATGTCATCCTTAAAATTTATCAATTCCAATTAAAACAATCAAATAGATAAAAAAAAATAATTGAATTTATATTTTTTTTTTAAATCTGAAAATCTATTGATAAATTCGGTATGAAATTCTTGAATATATTCGAAATATTTTGTACAATCAAGATCTGGCCATTCAGCTTATCTTTTTGCTGAACAAGAAAAAATGGTGTTGATTTTTTAATTGAGTGAAAAAGTTCTAGCTTCTCAAATAAATACACTTGTTAAAACATTTTATGGATTAAATAACTTTTCCATTGGAGTCAGTAATTTAAATCTGAAAGATGCTGTTATATCAATCAGGTATATATACAAATTTATCGGTTGTCAAACAAGAAAACTATACACTAACTTTGACCACAAATATAACGTGCGAACAAAGTAAACAAAGTGCGGCGTTATGGAAGTATTTTTGTAAATTATTACGAAAGTTTAAAATTATGTGAAGATTTTTGTCTATTGCTTTATTTTATTTATTATTTTATTTATTACGCAACTGACCAGAGCACCACACAGGCCTCTTTGCCCGGTCAGAAAAAAAGAACAGACAATTACAATTCAACAAAATGGCAGAAAATGAAAAAAAGATCAATACTAAATAAGTGTCATATCGTAATCACGAAATTAAAAAGCATAAAAGAAAACGATAATAACGTTGCATTGTCAGCATAACAATCGATCAAACAATCAATCAATCAACAGTCAATTAATCTACAACAATTTATAATCCATGCACACAAACACGAACCAAAAAACCATTCCACACACTTTAACAGTCACATAGAAATGGCAATTCAAATATATACTTGTTATGGCACGCGGACGTTATACGTAATTCAGTTTTACATTTATAGAATTATTTTTATTTTTTTAATATTTTAATTTAAATATCTAATTGGAAACCAGAATTTTGATAAAGTTTGCGCAAAAATTACTGCACTTTCGTCATTTTATTAATTTTTCGTTGTCTAATCATGTTTAAGTACTTAGCTGTCTTCCAATATTTCTAATAGTGTACATCCTACAAAATAAAGTCTGAAAAAGGCTGTGCTGATAATTGTAATTTTATTGCTTTAACTAGTGTGGTTTCTTATTTCAAGAAATTTATTTAAAAAAATTCCAGGAATTGCAATTATGTAAACATTGTTTCTGAAATTAATGTTTAAATATGCAGATTTATTGTTTATTGAAATATTTTAGGAGATAACTGCGATTTTCTTAACTTTTATAATTGCAGATATTTTTCACAAATTATCTTTTTTAAGACAAAGCTACTATGTTACTATGTCTGTTACTTTGTTAGTGTCATATTCTTCATCTTGTTCTTTTTGTCACTTCATTGTTCCTCATTGTTATTGGAGTTAGTATTTAGGCGTCGAGTTGTAATCATTTTTAGTTGGATGTTTATTTGGGATTTTATTAATATCTATTAGGACAGCTTCTGCAACTTTTCGGTGTAATTTATTGGTGTTTTGATGAATTATTTTGTGTTGTCAAGAATTGGTGGCTCCTCTTTGTGTATGCATTGTGCGACCTCTTGATTGTGAAATGGTCGTACCACTAATATAAGAATTTTATTGGTGCAAACAGTTGTCAATAGGGCATTTGAATTCATATTACATGATTACGCTTCAATGTAGGAATGTTCTTTACGACCAATTGTGATGTCTTACAATTGGTGTAGTATATCCTGAGTTTTATACAATAAGGCCGAGGTTTTTATTTAAATAGATTTTGTTGCATACTGACATATTTCGCTCTTAGTAATTTTTTCGAAACAGACTCAACATGACGTAGTTGAATCCATTTATAAAAAGTTACTTTATGCTAAATGGGCAAAAATAATAACTGTGCGAGCATTTTACAGTATATTTTACATACATTTCATCTATGCTGGAAAAATAGTTTAAAAAATAGAGTTTATTTTTAATATTAATTCAAACATCACTAAAATAGCAAACAGATCATGTCGGCAGCGTATATTATCATTTTAATAAATTTTTCAAATTCTAAATTTATACTGGAAAATTAAATTTGAAATACAGGGATACAAGATGCCACCAGCTGTATCATAATTCGGATGAGAAGACGATTTTCCATCTCCACATCAATCTCATGTCTGAAGTTTTTTAAGCTTGTTAATTCAAAATTCATTTTTTTGTTAGATGGGTTCAAAAATGTTCTGTTATTTGATTGTTAGCACATCTACTATCTTTGTTTTACAGCTAGCTACATTTTATAAGCTGTCTTTAAAAATTCAATAATATCTTCATTACTAATGGATGAAATTACTATTTATTTGCTTAGGCATGAAATTAATAACCAATCGTGTAAACATCAACTTAGTCCAAGCTGCTTGGAATTGAGGTTGAAAAAGGCATCCAAGATGAAATGGGATGGTTTTTTCAGTGAAGGTTAATGGCCTGTACTGTATTTAATTGTAAATGCTATAACTTCTATATATCGAGCAAAAAGTTAAGTCTTATTTTACTGTATTGAGTAAAATTTGTAAGTATTAAGTAAGTATTGTTATTATTATATCTGATAAATTGGAACTAGTGAAAAGCAAAAAGAATGGCTTAACGTGATCATATTTTATACCACTTAAAACTAACCTTGCCAAGCTGTAATATTAGACTTGCAATAGTTTATTTTGATAAGCGTATTCGAAGAGCTTATCTAATTGTATTAGCTGAAGATGTGTGTAGATTTTTTGTAGCGCGTATAATCTTTTATGCGAGAATTGTTAGTTTTATGGTTCTATTTTTTTTGCTAATTTAACAAATTTTCATATATTATGCTCGATTAGAACAATAAAAAAGTTCATATATTTTTTTATAAAATTTTCGAAGATTTACCCGTGTCATCACTTCCGTCCATGACGAATGCAAATAATTCTTCCACAAACGAAGTTATAAATAATAAGGTTTTATTGTATTTTTTAAATTTCAAATTGTATTTTGTAACTTTCGTTGTTTTCATTGTTCGCTAGATACTTTTTAAGTATTTTGGCGATTTGGTAGTTTAAGGATTAAATGCCTTCCACGCGCCGAAACCTCCGTAAGACAGCTCAGCGTATAAGTAGCTCAGAAATGGCTCGTCCAGGAAAAAATGTGCAAGTACTAAGTTTAACCTTGGAAAGGTCATACTGCTCCACTGAAATGTGTGGTGATGGACCTTAAGTGATGTATTAAGTCAATGGAATCGACAACCACCTTGAAAACCAATAACCACATTAATAAAAATCAATACTAGCTTGGTCGTCTACCAGCATAAAAAGGACCGCAGTGGCAGTTCAGCAATTTTGATTGGCGCTGAAAAGTATTCTAGAAATCATCGCGCTTATATCGTTAAAACACCCACCGACACAATTGTCAAGTATAAGACACAACATTTCATAGATGGCCGTAAGAAATACCACATTGACATCATGGCAACCTGTCACCTGTACACTCAAAAGTCCATCAACATCACCTGTACACTCTAAAGTCCTTCATCATCACCAAGCATCCAGAATGGACACCAATCCACACCAACTCGACTCATCAGAGTTGCATTTTTATATAACAAACGAAGTTGCATTTTTATATAACAAACGCTCAACTCGTTTCAGATAGAATTCTCGCCTTACCCTAGATGACAACCCAAAGATGTGCATAAGCACAAACCAAATTGACAACACCAGCAGAGAAAGACGAATTCTATAGCGATCTATCCTTGCCTCAAGCAAAATTACAACTGGTGCCTTCAACGCACTTTTTGAAGAGAACAGCAACGAAATTTTAACCCACATAGTTTGAAAGCACTGATAATGGACACAGGCTGATAAACCTTTCCGAAGCCACTAGAACCCGAGCAGCTCATTCGCACTTTCCAAATATATCATCAATGGAAACGTACAGCGGCCCAAATGGAAACAAATTCCATCTTGACCATATTTTGATCAACACGAAATGATGGAACTAAATCAACAACTGTCGAGCATCATGGACTTCAATTTGGACCATAAAGTCTTAGTGGCAATGAGAGTGGAAAAAAAACTCCGAACGATAGGGCAAGTATAATTGGCGTAAACTCGAGATCGAACAAGCACGTCTAACCTTTGATCTTGAGTTGAGAAATCGTTTCTAGGTCCTCTACAACAGGCTTTTGAGGAAACACCTGATATCAGGATCTTAAAGGATTACACGCAATATATCTGGCAATAAAAGATACGAGCGTAAAAGTATTTGGAAAGCGAAAGAACCACAACCATCCGAGCTGGGTGAGCGAAGAGACTCTGGATCTCCTTGACAAGCATGAAGAGGACAACTTTCAGAGGACAAGATCAAATGGAAACAAACCCAAAAGCAAATTTCAATTGCATATAAGCGTGATAAAAAAGCTGACTTGAGCAATCAACTCGTCAAACTCGAAGATGTTGCCAAGAAATGCGAACACCGGCGTAATTGGAAAATTATCAATAATATCGGCAAATAATTATCAACAAATCACTGCAACAACAGTGAAAGTCAGACCACTTGATGTCTCAATTCCAGACTCCAAAGATGATGTCCTTAAAGACATGAGCAACTATTTTGAGAATCTCCTAAACGACAAATGTGAGGAGGCTCATAGGTCTATCAATGTTGGACGATGTTGAGTGTTTTAACCGTCGTTGTTAGTTAGTGTTTTTTGAATTAGTTTCAACTAGTTTTCAGTTAAAATTTATATTATTAATAAAAACGTTTACTGTGGCTTTTCGGCGGGTTTGACTAGTGGCATAGTGATTGGGGTTGTCATCTCAATTCTTTGTTGATGTGCAGATATGAATCTTATCGAGAACAACTTTTCTTCTGCTGCGGACTGAGTTTGTGACTTGTTTGTAGCAAGTGGATATTGAAAAATTTAACCGATAAATTTTTCTTCTGTTTTTGAGTGGCAATGAAGATGCAAATGCATTGACATTGTCGTTTAGGAACCGCTGCCATGCTGATAATTAGAAACAGTATTGTTTATATTTTATGTTTTAACAATAACTTTCAATAATTGCCTTTTTATTATTAGAGTTAGTTATCTAAATTTTTTTTTGGTCATATTTTTGTTGTTTTTTGTGTTACGTTTGCTGGCTAGTTTCACACTTGTCATGTACATTGTCTGACATTATGATCAAGCCGGCTTTAAACATGGTAACAGCTACATCCAACAAATTCACATTCTAAGAAGAAGAATAATGAATGGCGCTTATCTTCGAAATATACTTCGAAATATACATTACCTTCATCGACTTTAAAAAGGCATTCGATTCTATTGACAGAGATGATGCTTGTAATCCTACGATACTACGACATTCTAGCAGAAATCGTGGCTGAAATTCGAATGATCTACGATTCGTCAACTAGCATTGTATTTGTTGGAGGCGAACAATCAAAGGAATTTTATTTAACAGCAGAAGTTTTACAAAGAAATGTGCTCCCTCCTTTCCTATACATCTTTGTCATCGGCTACCTTCCAAAACATGCAGAAGCCTACTTTGGTTATATCAACCATAGCACTGCAAAGCAGGACCAAAGTCAACCACAACTCCGACAACCATCAATCAGAAACTGTACGACCTCGACTTTGCAGACGATATAGGGAATGTTGCAGACGATATAGACGAATGGGGAATGTTCAACAACAACTCAATTCATTGAGCTCCAGTGCGGCAAATATCGGCCTCAAAATAAATGTTCAAAAGACCGTCCGAATGATCCTCAACCCACCATAAGGTTTTGATAATAAGACTTCACTCAAGCATAATGGGGAAAACATCGAAAAAGTGAAGTATTTCAAAAATCTGGGTTCTTATTTAGGAACAGCAGAAAAGGACCTGGATGCAAGAATCGCACTAACACGGGTATCCTCAACAAACTAGGACCTATCCTGATGCCACCAAAACTTGACAGAACAGTTCAGACTGCGACGGTGCATCTTCAACTCAGCCTGCATTTCCATCCTTCTTTACGGCTGTGAATCATGGACATTTGATGAAAAACTAAAAACGTGGATCTATAGAATTATGTTTGGTATCTAGCAATCGGAATTAAACATGGCAAACAGAGATCACTGCGCGTTCTCAAGGCAAGAAAAAATATCAAAGAAAATAAAAAATCGACACCTCAAATTTATCGGTCTCATCGAGTGTCGAAAAATCAGCCCACGAACTATATGCGCTCTACAAATCTGAAATCATAACATCAAACCGCAGAGCGCGTTATTCTTACCTGGATCAAATTTCAAAGGCTTTAGCTTTAGACAAAAAATTCAAGTCATATTGTCGCTCTAAACAAGCTCAATCGATGATGATATCCTACACATTCAGTGTATTCAGGATTCTTGGCAGTGATAGAACCCAAGAATGAAAAAGAATGTACGGTTTCCAAGGAACTATTCCAAAAAATAATGATAGTGTATATGCTGGTATATTCAGCACAATTGGTATTCTTTGCAGTGATAGAACCCAAGTTTGAAAAGACCGTTTTATGGAATATTTCTAAACCTTATGCTATTAATGCAATCTAAATATTAAGTTTTGTCTAATTAAATACAGCTTTCAACTATAAAAATTGTATTTTTTTAGGTTGGTCTGTGATTGTTTGTTTTTACTTTTTTATTTTACAACAATCGTAATGTGATCTGTGATGCTGATAAAGAATATTTTTGTATTGAACTTGAGAGGTCTAAAACTTAATTACTTTAATTGACAGATTTTTTGTTGTTCTTTTGTTTTGAATTTTAACATTGATGGCCGAACAATATTTAACCTGTTAAAATTAGTTCATATAAATAATATGCTTGAATATTTTTTAAATATAGCAACAGAAGCCAACCTGTATGGTTACACCGTTACTTTCCCAGACAAATAATGAAAATGATAATCCTCCTCATAGGATTCTTTCTCATTCCTGTCGTCGCATTGGTTATGTTGGCCTTGACAACATGGGCAATACTTGCTTCATTAATTGTGTTATTCAAGCACTCGCTAACACTCCGGAGCTAAGAAATTATTTTCTCAGTCAGATTAAGTTTTCATTGGTTATATTCTTTATTTAATTGCTTTAATTGTTTCTTTTTTTATAATACAGATTATATTTATTTATGAATAGTAATAATATAAACATACACTTAGGTAATAGGTACAAAAAGGATTTGAACAAAACAAATGTTTTGGGCACAGGAGGTTTGTTGGCAAATGCATTTGCAGACATGATGGTAGCACTTTGGAAGGGAACAAATAAGTCATATTATCCGAACAAAATTAAAGTCAGTAAATAAATTTGCTTTTCATCCTGTATACATATATACATATATTTTAGAACGTGGTGTAAGCTGATTCTTCTCATGCCTTTCAGGGCATTGGCGACCATCGATCTCCACACAACCCGATCATAAACACTTTGTACAAATAGCAGTTGAAATGTGGTGTTATTCAAAAGTTACACAATTGACTTCGCGAATGTAATTTGTTGTTGACCGTGATTTTTTCTTCTGCAATCTTGCTAGATTTTCCATTCTTTCCTTCCTCATGTTTTGACCGAAGAATTTTAACAGTCTTCGTCGGATTATTTGTAGTAATTTTTTTTCATAACCGGATGTTTTAATACATCCTCATTGAAAGTATGAAAGATCCTACTAATTTTCATAATTCTTCTAAAAAACACATCTCACGCAATCTTTTTTTCTACTTCTTTAGAAATCCTCCAGTACTCAGAGCCGTAAGAGAGCACAGGAAAAATGTAACGCTCTATTATTATTATTATTACTATTATTATTATTAATTTATATCACGTCCTATGCATAGCTTCAGAGACGCTTGGATAAACAATGACTTTCGACGTTTCCGTAGGCCTGGATAAACAAAAAGTTCTTTAATCGTTTCCTAAAAAGTTTGATGATTGGTTGTTGACGAATAATGGCGGGCAAACCATTCCATATGGAAGGAGAGCTGTTGTAAAACATTTGTTGACAACCGATGAATTGCTAACAGGTTGATGCAACTGAGTATATGAAGACGAACGAAGTTGACAAGTTGATGAATGACGCGATGTAAGTTGATGAAGAATTAAAAGATAGAAAAGAGTCAAAAGTTAAGCCTAAAAATTTAAGTTTAGAGGTTGAAGTGAGAAGATCAGCCAATAAAACGTGTGATGTAGGGAACATTTGATAACCTGTTGCGGAGTGCCAAGAAACATTACTTCAGATTTGTGGGGGTTCAGCCGGTCCAGTAGATAAGGTGAAGCTAGAAGAAATGTTGGAGTAAAGTTTAATATATTGAAAACGATTAGAAAGATAAGATTGAAACCAGGATAAGGCAGATTCCGTGATGCCATATTGTGCCTCAAGTCTGTCAGTATGCATCTGATGATTAATGGTATCAAAAAGCTGCTGAAAGATCCAGGCTAACCATGACAGCACAATTTTGGTTTCCATATATGTTAGCAAGTTGGTTGTGAACAAGAAGGAGGGCTGTTTCTGTAGAATAATATTTTCTGTAAGCGGATTGAAAAGTAGATAAATTAGGAGATGAAGTAATATGGGTGAGAATACTGTACAAGACAATGCGTTCAAGTAATAACTTGGAAAAGGTTGAATGGTTGGAAATAAGACGGTAATTAGAAGGATCAGATGGATCAAGGTTAGATTTTTTTCAGTAAAGATAGAATTTGAGTTATCTTAAAAGAAGTTTGAAAAATGCTGTTTTCTAGAATAAGATTGTAAAGCTTAGTATGGCTCAAAAGATGAGAAAATTTTTTAAGAATAAAAACTGGAATAATATCAAGTGGAGATGTTTTGTTGGGCAAAAAGTTTATGAGCTTTAGAACTTCTTCTGAGGTGACAGCTGAAAAAGAAGAAAAAAAAGAGGAAGAAAGAGGTCTATGGTTTGAAGAAGGAATGTTAGAAGAAGCAATTGTTGTAGCAATAGATTGATGAATAGAATTTATTTTGTCCTTGAAAAAGTTAGCAAAAGAAGATACAGAGTAAGAGATTCAGCATCAGAAAAATGATGATCTTAGCGTTTGTAAAAAATGTTGCCAGAGATTACGAAAGTTGCTGCTGTTGTTGAGAGTGTTCTTAATAGAATCGATCCCAGACCTCATAATGGCGTCACGAGTAACACGTTTAGCATTTTGTAGTTGACGAAGTTGAGCGCTGATTTTTTATGTTTGTAGTGACGACGACAATTTCTTTTAGCAGCTATTCCTTTTTAGGATAAAGAACAACCAGGATGGGAGCTTTCCCGAAACGAGTAATGCTTGATTGGTGCGTGTTAGTTGACGATGTCATTCAAAGTTGTGTTTAGAGCTGACGCAAACTTATCTTGTGTAAGCAAATCTTCAAATGTTCTGTATAAATCATTTTCGAATGACGTGTAATTTAAACGACGAAAGCTGCGACGGCAGTTATGGATGATTGTCGATGATAGTTTGAAGAGCGTTGAGTTGAAGCACTTAATGTTGTGATCTAAAAAAACGAAATCATTGACAGTTAAGTTATGTACAATGTTGTTGTTGGTATGAGTGATTACGAGGTCCAACATATTGTCATGTACATGTCTAGAGGAGTGACGTGTTGAGTGAGATTGAAGGATTCTAATAATGAAGATAGGTGATGATCAATACCCGAGAGGTGCTGGTACGTTGAAGTCGCCACAGATGATAAACGGTAGATTATGGCCAACGAAGAAAGCTTGTTGAAATAAGACCGGTTGGCCTGTAAATAGATGAGATGAGTGACGACGAAAATGTGTTGAATTTTACTGATAGGCTTTCAAAATTACAAAAAAATGTACTATTGTTTGTTGATATTCTCAGGAAGTTGTTGTACAGCCAAGACGCCGCCATGTTTGTCACTGGAAGTACCACGATGAGAATGACAAACCAAGGGAGCCAAATTTTTTAAAACAACTCGTTGGGCATCGGATGGTATCCAGGTTACGGTGACGACGAGAATGTCTATTTTTTCCTCACATATGACGTCGTTCGGAAGTGCGGCCTTGTTGACAGCTGACATTTTAATTTGGCCAAGCATTTGTTAACGTTGGGTCTTTTTCTCAGAGCTTATTGTAGATTGATGTTCCAAATATTTAATTGAAACATGATTTTTCTACATATTCTAAGAATGTTAAGAGAATTTTTGAGTGGTAAAAATCCAAGAAGTTTTTCGCGAGTCCATTTAATTGTCATAGAAAAATTATTTGACAAAAGCAGCACATTGCGAAATGGACTAAACAAGTAGCATTGAAAAACATGATTATGATGACGTTTGTTGAATTGTAATCATAGTTAAAATTATTGATGATTTGTAGATGAAAGAAAATCGTTAAAATTTAATATTAAAATCGGTTACTGTACTGTACTGTACTGTTACTGACGACGATGATGAAAATTTGTTGAATTCATAATAAATTGTAAAACGAACTGTAATACAGCAACGAAATCTTTCGCGAATTTTAAAAACGTCAAAAAAAATTAATTATTGTTTTATTGAAGGAAAATGAGCAAAAACTTTAGTTTATAACTGAAAATTTAATGATTGAAAAATCCACAACACGATGTCGAGTAAACCATAGACATCGCAAACCCAAATCAAACCTCTAACAGTTTTTATTTTGCTGATATTCGGATTTTTGTTAGTGAGGATGTTTTTCATTTTAGAATATGATCTTTCGCCACAGCTATCCTTCGTTTGACATCCACATCACATTTATTACCTGAGATAATCAGACTTCTAAAATAATTGAAGCTGTTGACTTGTTTCATCTGTTTACCATTAATGATTATTAATGATCGGGACCGTTTTGCTTTTACTGATAACCATGCACTCTGTTTTGTTGATGTTAATTTGCAAGCCTTCTCCTTCACTTTAAAAAACCAGCTTGGAAAGTATTTTTTGCAGTTTTTTCATTGATTCAGTTATAAGAGCTGTATCATAAGCATATGCATACATTGGTTATATTCACTCCTCTAATAGATTTTCAAAGTAGATCATCTATCTTTTTCATGATGATCTCACTATAAAGATGGTACAAGTCTAGAGAGGATACACAGTCTTGTCTAACACCTTTCTTTATTTCGATAAAACTAGTCATCTTGTTACCAACTTTCATTACCTCAATAGAGGTTTTTTGATAACTCTCGTGTCTTTTCCATCAATGTCTAAATCTTCCAACGTCTCAATAAGCTCCACGTGTTTCACACTATCAAAAGCTTTGAACTAATCGACAAATCATATAAACGCTCGTTCACTGATCATTCGCAGCATAGATAGCGTTTCTTGCGTCACAATTCTCGAAAACCAAGTTGGACATTTGAAATTTCAGATCTGATTTTGCTTCGTGCTCTCATCATTAGAATTATCAAGAAAAGTTTTGTAAAATGTTCGATATATATATATATATATATATATATACAGTGTTGTGGAGAGTTATATCGGTCACACACGTACTACTCTCTCTCGTAGACTTACAATGCATATACAGGATGGTGCAATAAAGAACCATATGGTAAATATCAACGCTCAGCCGAGAAGCGCGAATTAATTTATTTAATTAACTACATATTAATATTTTTACAATATTTAAAAACGTTATTATTATTATTATTGTTATAATATTATAATGTCTAATTTCTCTGACATCAATAAATTAAAAAGAAATATAAAAAAGTTGAACAATGTTGAAAGTAGTGTTGAATTTTTGAAATGTTGCGTTAACAACAGTCTCTTATCAATATATATTTATCTTAACAACCGTAATATAAACAATCTTGCCGTTAAAATTTTAAAAATCGCGTTTTATATTGTTTAATATTATTAAATTTATTTTATTGGTTTTCTGTTTTAACTAAATAATTTATATATATATATATATATATTATTATATATATTATATATATTTATATATATATATATATATATTATTGATGAAAATCACAGAATGTTCGGCTTTAGTTAACTTCCAATTTAACTTTTTGATTTTTCTAACGGTTGATAGATATTATTATTTTCAAGTTTTTGTTTTAATTAAATAATTTATATAAATTAATAAGTACTTGTTCCTTCTTATCAAATATCTTACATACCTTATATATAATGCACTGAAGATGAGTTATCTATAACTCGAAGTAGCTATTTGCAAATTTATTTAATAAAAATTTTTAAAAAACAATATAAAACAATAAAAAAAACAATGTCTAATTTCTCTGACATCAACAAATTAAAAAAAAATATAAAAAAGTTGAACAATGTTGAAAGTAGTGTTGAATTTTTGATATATATATATATATATATATATATATATATATATATATATATATATATATTACAACAACATATATATATATATATATATATGTTGTTGTAACCCTTGACCTCGTAACTACCAACACCGAAGTGATAACTTCAAAAATCTCTATATATCCAACACCAGTGTTGTAGCCTCCAACGATCGTCAAGATTCCGTAGGTTCAAGATTTCCGATAGATAAACAAAACTGCTTTTAACGCAAACTTTGTTGAACGTTTCTTTGAATACCAACAGTAATAGAACCAAACTAATCCAAATAACTGCATATATCACGTTTACTACTTTGCTTTCTCAGCTGGAAACCTGACTGCGCAGGACATATTTAAAGTATAGATTTGTAGTATAAATTCAATATTTCTTTACACTCTCTGGGTTACAATCCAAAGGTTACAAATACAGCAAAGATAACAATTATTAATTATTATTATTAAGTATCGCAACATTTTCATCTCTAATTAGTTTCTGGTTCAGTTTTCGATATTTCGTACCGTATTTTTTTCATTGTTTTTTAATTTAGTTATATAAATGAAATAAATATATATTTTCCTAAAACAATCGACTCAAACCACATCTATATGGTCGATATGTAGATGATATCTTTGTCACTTACAACTATCGACCAGCTTCTGACAGAGTTCAAAAGCTCTAAATTGAAATTTACCATTGAACATTCAGTTGAAAATAAATTGCCTTTTTTAAATGTTCTCGTTCAAGATATATACAATAATTTCAAAACATCGGTCTACACCAAATTAATCAACAAAGCAGAATGTTTAAATAGATAAAGTGATGACCAGAAAAAAATATTTAAGAGTTGCTTTAAGTTATTAAAAAAATCAGTCATTGATTTGATAATCTTAAAACGAGAGCAACAAGATAATACCAACCGGATCACTGGGAATATTATACTATTAGTATAACAATATATTTATAAACTTTATATCCACTTCATATCAAACGAATTGGAAAATATTAAAAAACATAGTGATGAAGAACTTCAAAATAATCGTTTGTAATGAATTTTTATGCCAATGACAAAACTTTATTCTTAAAAATAACATTAATAAGAAACAAGAATCAATAATGAAAAGAAGTCACCTAATGTATAACTTTAATTGTCCTATCGGTGAGTACGGGCACCAAAATTCAGAATTTATCGGATACTCTTCTACTTCATTAACATTAACTGTGCATACACAAAAAGGTGCAATAAAAAATCATTTAATCGATAACCGTGGAACAGCAATTACTAGAGAAATAATCAACAAAGATCTTGTATTCAACAGGATTCCGTTTCAACTTAAAATTGCAGAAACACTTTTCATAGACAAAGATAATAATAAACATCCACCAGAATGTAGTAACTTTGGTATCACCAAAAAAAACTACTAATTAAGGAAAATAATGGACCAACGCAGTGATGTTTTTGAGCCAATAAAGTAAGAGCGCGCTGATATAACTATAGATAAGATACAATCAATATTTTATAACATTTTACTATATTGAAAATGGACTACCGAAAAAAGCTGTTTCTGTATAAAATTAATATGAATAGAAGAATAGTTCATAACTTTGTTATCTTAATAATTAGGTTAAAAAATAATGATAAAAACTCGGTACGAAATATTGAAAAACTGAACCCCAGAGGCTGATCAAGGCCGAAAATGCTGTGATATTTTTTAATAATTGTATTTACGACGGTATTAACTCTAATTTTATATATACGAACTATGAATAGATATTTAATAATATTTGTTTCTAAGACTTTGATTGGACAGAAACAAAGCAGATTCGAAGGTTATTTGCAACATGATGCTGAAGAATTCATGGAATTTTTGCTAGATGGCTTACACGAAGTCAGTTCATTAATAAATTGTATAACTAAAATTAATCAACGCTTGAAATTTTTATTTTTAAAAAAAAATGAATCAGGATTTAAACAGAGTGGTCAACAAACCTTACATTATGGAACTTGAAGATGTTTCAATTCTGGATCATAAAGTGATTTATTTTGTTGTTAAAATTTTGTAATCTTTTATTAATTTCAAACCTATTTCAGCCGTCTATAAAAGATAACAATTGAACCAATTTTTTAACCTACGAATCTTGTTCAGTTCTATCTAATTTTTAGGTTCGGTTAAAACTAATTTTCAGAAATGATTCTATTATAATATTATTAATGAAATCAACGTCTCGAGTGTACTTGAGTGTCAAAATTTATTGGCAATTTTAGTATTCATATATGATTAACTATAGTATTGGTTAACCTGTTATTGGTAATGAAAAAAACAGCACAATATTGCTTTGCTTTTCAAAGAAAATGTGGAAACTTCAATTTTGTTGCTGGGGGCGTAATTTCTATCAGCCAAACTCTATTTTGCAAAGTTGAATATTTGCTTCTTATTTTCATCGTTAAAAGTTTATTTCATCTAACACAGGCAATTTTTTGCATTTTACTGCCCAATGTAGACAATAATTGCTTTTGGACGTTGCTCGAAATTTCATCGCAGACGTTTTTTACTACATTCTAGCTTTTGTGTATTTTGAGTTTTTTTTTGCAGTCCATTTTTACAGAAACACTTTTTAAATAGCGCAGCTTCACATTGCTTCTTGATGTCTTTTTTATACTACTAAAAAAAACTGTACGCAACTGCATCTTTTAATTTTTTTTTGTTTATTAGCAAAAGAGGTTGCTTGAGTTCCGAATTATGAAAGTCTTGACAATCGTTTCTAAAATATAGATTCAAAGCGTAGGTTTCAGAATTTCCTGATCTGTTGCTGAATATAAATAAAATTAACTGTAAAATTAACTAATAAATTTCCTGAGCTATCTTTTGTATGAGCTCCCTGTCACAGGTTGAGGTTTAGCATGCGGCGCCTCATGATTTTATCTTAACGGGGTTGCCGCATTGCGGAAAGAAAAAAAATATATAAAGCGATAATAGGAGAATTATTGAGTGAGAACGCCGTAGTTTAACTCTTGGTTGATAGTAGACGATAGAATTTTGCATTTTAGTAATTATTGGTTTAATTTGGAGTAAAAAACGTTTGGTAGTAGGTTTGGCGGTAGGACGTTGGCAGTCACAAGTCTAACTGGAACGTCGTTTATAGGTATAAAGTGGTAATTGGTAGCAGGTAGTAATAGCGGAGTCAACAACAACTCCAACACAACAGCGTCGTGATAACAACCACCACAACTACAGCAGCTGCAACAACCAGTTATTTCAACAACATCTCCAACACAATAGTGTCGTGGTTTCAGTTATTTCAACAACAACTCCAACACAACAGTGTAGTGATAACAACCACCACAACTACAGTCGCTGCAACAACCAGTTATTTCAACAACAGCTCCAACACAATAGTGTCGTGGTTTCAGTTATTTCAACAACAACTCCAACACAACAGTGTAGTGATAACAACCACCACAACTACAGCAGCTACAACAACTCTTATCCAGCAACATCGTGGCGTCAGTTATTCCAACAACAACACTCGCACAACAACGTGACAGTCTATACCGTAGTAATAAAGCACGTTTGTCACCCCAAACGACAATACATACATTAACTTAATAATTGAACAATATTTTGTTAATTTGTATTCTATCTCGATTTATTTGAATATCAAGAAAACTTATTTTCTGTTTCTACACATCAAATTTCAAGTCTTTTGATAGAAGCCGTAAAGAACCTGTTACATTTGGTGGCAGCGGTGGGATTCACACTAAAAGAAAGAAAAGTGTGAAACGGCGCAGGAGCAAAGTGAGTGAGATGGCTCACAATTTAAGGTCCAAGGACAAGGGCACGAAGGACGGTGAGGAGGAGGAGACGTTGGATCCTGTGCGGGCCACCCAGATCCGGATCATGTTAGAAGCAGCTGAAGATGAGAGGAGAATAAGACGTGAAGCAGCTAAAAGGGAGGAACAACGCGCAGAAAGGGAGGAGCAACGCGCAGATGAGGATAGAAGGCTACGGAGGGAAGCTGACATACAATTAAAAATTAATAATCGTAATAGTCAACAGGAAGACCGGGTTAACATGGGCAACAGATTTGGCCCCATGTTAGGAAGATGCCCAACTGACCCTCGGGAGATCTCCGCATATTTTCAACGGATTGAAGGCATATTTGAAAGTTATAGAATCAGTGATGAGGCCAAGGCTGAACTGTTGTTATCCAGACTGGAGCCGAAGATGAAAACTATATTGAATGAACTTCGGACCGAAGATTATACAAATTATGAAGCTATAAAGCAGCAAATCATTCGCTCTTGCCGATTTTGTCCGAAGAAGCTCCGGGATGCATTCTTTTCAACCTATAAGGCAAAGGAGGAAACATACCCAGCATTTGTTGCACAATTGTATCGCCATCTCAAATTCTATTTCCAGAGTCGGAAAATTGAAACCCTTGAACAAGCCATGTCCTTGTGGGTTGTGGACCGTTTAAAGGAGATAATACCAAAAAATTTGGTAGAGTACATACTGGCTCAGGAGGGTGACGAGTGGTTACCACATGATAAAGTAGCAAACCTGTTGGAGACTTATGAAGCGAATATGAATATGAGGGGATCGACCAACTCTATTTCTAGTTTCCGAACACAGTCTGGTCATGCTCATTTAGGAAGTGACAGTAAAGGGTTTGTAAGGGATGAGAGGAGGGGTCCATCGATGAAGCCAAATTGTTTTACCTGTGGTAGTACTGGCCATCTGGCCAAACATTGCACAAAAAAGTCTAACTATACGACACCGGCCAAGAGGGTGATGAATTGTCAGATTACCCCCGGAATGCACAGCAAACAGCTCGGGTTGACTGAGGCCATGCGAGTAGAGAAATATTTTGAGAGGCCATATGTCAAGGTAAAAATTCAACCCGGTCCAGTGTGCGAGGCTTTGGTGGACAGCGGTGCTGAGGTATGTGGGATTTCACAGAAGTTATGCCAGGAGTTGAATCTACCCAGTTTGGGAACTGAAAGGATCAAGGGATGGAATGGACAGGTGGCTGAGGTGGATGCCACATGGGTAACGTTGACTCAGGGGGACAAGGCTGCTACCCCTGGCGTCCGGGTGTGGTGTGCCGTGGTGCCAAATGCTAGTGAACCACTAATTATTAATCCAGGAGTGGTAGAACAGTTAAAGTTGGTAACGCCTTATGTAGTACCTGCTGCAGGGGTGCTGTCTGCCAGTGGTTCATTGGTCAATTTAGGGACCTTTTACAATGTTGACGCCCCCCATGGGCAGTGTCACGAGAGATACAATAAAATTCAGAACCGTGACGTTGATGACGAGAAAGATGATGAAGCTTGTGAATTTAATAATTGTAAATTAGATGGCAGTGTAATAATAAATAAAATTCAGAACCGTGACGTTGATGACGAGAAAGATGATGAAGCTTGTGAATTTAATAATTGTAAATTAGATGGCAGTGTAATAATAAATAAAATTCAGAACCGTGACGTTGATGACGAGAAAGATGATGAAGTTTGTGAATTTAATAATTGTAAATTAGATGGCAGTGTAATAATAAATAAAATTCAGAACCGTGACGTTGATGACGAGAAAGATGATGAAGTTTGTGAATTTAATAATTGTAAATTAGATGGCAGTGTAATAATAAATAAAATTCAGAACCGTGACGTTGATGACGAGAAAGATGATGAAGTTTGTGAATTTAATAATTGTAAATTAGATGGCAGTGTAATTACAGATAAAATTCAGAACCGTGACGTTGATGACGAGAAAGATGATGAAGTTTGTGAATTTAATAATTGTAAAATAGATGACAGTGTAGTTGTGGATGGAGTTCCTAATCGAGATGTTGATGAGGAGAAAGACGATGAAGGTAGTGAAAAGAGTTGCAAGGTTATGATCAAGGATACAGGTAGAGCTGATATTAGTCAGGAGAAGAAGGATTCCGCAGTGAATAAAATTAATAAATATAAATTTGAACTTGGTGAAGTTGGTAGTTCCGGTATTGGGCTTGTGGACAGATCAAATATTGTCGGTTGGGATGTAAACTATGTTGTGAGAGTGGCTGAAATGACAATCGACGGGGTGGATGAAACTAATAAGGTTTTGACAAAATCAAGGGAAGGTGTTAGAGAATCACCACGAAATTTGGATGGAATTGGTAATAGCGAGAAGCAAAAGGTTGTTGAACATTTGGACGATGTCGATGAGGAGGAAACCGATGGTCAGTTGAACCGTGGAAAAAAGAAAAAGGCAGACGAACATAAACTCGACTTAGACGAGGAAGAGGAACACGTCGATGATGATGTGGGGGGAGGATGTGTGACTGAGAAGAAGAAATTTTGCCAAGAACAACACCAATGTCAAACGCTTACGAGGTGTTGGGAATGGGCAAAGACAAGAAAAAAGAATTTTTTGTTGAAGATGAGGTATTGTACCACCGGGATAGGGTAGTGGGTCACCAGGTGAAACAATTGTGTTTGCCGGCAAATAGGATTCAGACGGTGATGGAGATGGGGCACGACAAACCTTTTTCAGGTCATTTGGCCGCGGATTCGACCAGACAACGGATAGCACTTAGTTTCTGGTTTCCAAATATGTCCGAACAGGTCTTAAAGTATTGCCAGTCATGTCGAATATGTCAATTGAGAGCACCTGTCAGGATATCCGAGAGGACACCCATAACACCAATTCCCAGAAAAGATGAGGTACCATTTTCGCACCTGGTCATGGATTGTATCGGACCTATGGTGGTGGTGGAAACAGGACCAAAGCCAAAATATAACTATGCTTTGGTTGTGATTGATTTATTTACTAGATGGCCCATGGCCTATCCGATGCAGCATATGGATGCTAAGTCTACATGTGAGGTCCTGTTACAGATTTTCATGACCTATTCTGTACCAAAGGTGATTAGTTCAGATCAGGGTACTAATTTTACCAGTAAACTCACTCAGGCACTACTTAGTAACTTGGGATGTAGTCCTCGCTTTAATACTCCAGGTCATCCGGAAGCCTCAGGGGTGGTGGAAAGGTGCAATCAAACACTAAAAAGTATGATATACAAGTTGGCACAGGAACACCCACGAAGTTGGCATCGCATTTTGCCGTTTGTGTTGTGGACCCTCCGTGAGAAGCCATCGGCTACCACTCATGTCAGCCCGTTCACCATGTTGTACGGTACATTACCCAGAGGTCCACTATCCATACTGAAGGAATCTTGGGTGGGTGAACAATGCTTGCCTGTGAATCTCGGGAAACGGCCTGAGGAGTGCCTCAAAGAGTTAAGGCGGAATCTAGAGGTGGCGCACGAATATGCTGAAGAACATGCTACTAAGGAACAACAAAGGTACACCCATTATTATAATTTGCGCAGTACAACACGTGAATTCCACTTAGGAGATGCAGTTATAATACTAATCCCCGCAACATGGAGGAACAAATGGTGCAATAAATGGCAAGGGCCAGGTACTATTGTAAAAGTCAAATCACCACATTCCTATGTAGTAGAGTTGGAGGGACAAAAGCACCACGTACATGTCAACCATATAAGAAAATATCACCAGAGACGGGAAGAGGTACACTCAGTAACTGCGTTGTTCTGAGA